CCTCTTCCCTTTCCTTCCTCTTCCTTGTTCTCCTCCTCCTCCTCCTCCTCTTCTTCCCTTTCCTTCCTCTTCCTCGTTCTCCTCCTTCTCCTCCTCCTTCCTTCTCCTCTTCCTCCCTCCTTTCCTTTCCTTCCCTTTCCTTGCTCCTCTTCCTTCCCCATTTCCGGGCCGGTTTCCTCCTCTAACGGATTTTCTGCTTCTTCTCTTCCTCCTCCTCTTCCTCCTCTCCCTGTTGCTGTTGCTCTCCCTCCTCCTCCTCCTCCTCCTCGTCCCGCAGCCGAAGCGCCGCACGGACTCCAAGGACTTCCGCGCCCTCCTGGGCTCTTCGGGATCCGGGCTGGTAATGCTCCTTTTTCCAACTTTTCCAACTTTTTTTTCACCCTTTTCCGCCTTTTTTCCCCGTTTTTTGGGGAGTGGGGAGGGCAGGACGGGGCCGGGAACGCGCCGGAACCTTGGAAAAGCTCTGCGTGCCCTGGAAAAGCTCCAGAATCCCCAGGGGGGGAAAAAAAATCCCTTGAAAAGCTCCGGGATTCCTGAGAAAGCTCTGGAATTTCCTGGGGAATATGTGGGATTTTCGGGAAAGCTGTGGAATTCCCAGGGGAGATCCAGAATTGGTGGGAAAAGCACCGGGAATCCCCAGAAAAGCTCCGAAAATCCCAGGAAAAGCTCTGAAACGAGCAGGAAAAGCTGCGGAATTCCTGGGAAAAGCCCCGGAATTCCTGACCGCAGCGCTCTCCTCCTTCCAGGGTGACGCGGAATTCCAGCGGATCATGGCCGTGGTGGATCCCAACGGCAGCGGGAGCGTCACATTCCAGGCCTTCATCGACTTCATGTCCCGGGAAACGACGGACACGGACACGGCAGAGCAGGTCATCAACAGCTTCCGGGTCCTGGCCGGGGACAAGGTGAGGAAAAACGGGAATGCCGGCGGGTTTGGGAATGGGGAGGAGGGGGAAAGGGGTTTGGGAATACCAGGGAGGGATTTGGGAACGGCTTGGTGGGAATTGGGAACTCCGGGGTGGGATTTTGGAGTGGTTTGTTGAGGTTTGGGAATTCCAGGGCTGGATGGGAAGCATGAGGGGGAAGTGGTGGGAAGTGTGAGGGGAAAAGAGAGGGAAATGGGAGGGGGAAATGGTGGGAAATGGGAAGGGAAAAGGGCAGGAAATGTGAGGGGGAAAAGGGCGGGAAATGTGAGAGGGAAATGGTGGGAAATGGGAAGGAAATGTGAGGGGGAAATGGCGGGAAATGTGGGGGAAAAGGGTGGGAAACGTGAGGGGAAAATAGTGGGAAATGTGAGGGGAAAAGGGGGGGAAACCTGAGGGGGAAATGGTGGGAAATGTGAAGGAAAAGGGTGGGAAACGTGAGGGGAAAAGGGTGGGAAATGTGAGGGGGAAAGGGATGGGAAATGTGAGGGGGAAATGGTGAGAAATGTAAGAGGGAAATGGTGGGAAACATGAGGGGAAAATGGTGGGAAATATGAGGGGAAAAGGGTGGGAAATATGAGGGGGAAATGGCAGGAAATGTGAGGGGAAAATGGTGGGAAATTTGAGGGAGAAATGGTGAGAAATGTAAGAGGGAAATGGTGGGAAACATGAGGGGAAAATGGTGGGAAATGTGAGGGGAAAAGGGCGGGAAACGTGAGGGGAAAATGGCGGGAAATGTGAGGGGGAAAAGGGTGGGAAACATGAAGGGAAATGGTGGGAAATGTGAGGGGAAAAGGGTGGGATCGGTGACCCTGGGGACCGTTTCCCTTCATGGCTTCCCTTCTCCCCCCTTTTTCCCGCCTCATTCCCACTTTTCCCGTGCCGTTCCCAGAACTACATCACGGCGGCGGAGCTGCGCCGGGAGCTGCCGGCGGCGCAGGCCGAGTACTGCATCGCCCGCATGGC